TATTAAAATATTCAAAATATGAAATTCAATGGAGTGATCTGTTTTAATGAAACATGGTAATGCCATTAAAAGAAATATAATACTAGTGAGGTTTGTGCTACTGATATCTATAGATATAAGTAGTATGTATCATCAGTCGAAAGTGAAATGTCTGGAGGTAAAAGGTTAAGAAGATCGAATAGAAGAGTATAGGAACAGAGAATGATTAGTGTGAAAACGAAGAAACAATGAAATCTGAGACAATTGATTGTCATTTTACAAATGAAATATTTACTATATGGTTTTTCAGATTATACTAAGAGATTCTGTAATTTTGAATTCACTTACATTTGGTTGCCCCCGGTTATCTGCTCAGTGACTATACTGGATTATATGATGTAGATTATAAGACATGGTTATGTAACTTCCACAAATCTGGCATAAACAAAGAACAAACAAGCTTAGATTAAATTAGTATATGACTGAACAAATTTATTCAAAATGTTTGTAATGGTAGGCTTAGGTATATTGGTATTTTGGAATATAGTTAAAGCATTCAACTTATAACCTGGAGATTGTTAGCTCGAATCCAGTTAGACTTAATTTAGTTTGTACAACTGAATAGTATAACCCCCTGTTCCTTCATATAGACATTAAAACTCAAATCTCATTACCTAAAGATTTTCAATGGGTTTTTTTTCAACTTAGATCAGTTGATGATTTCAATGAAATTCAACAAACTCCATAACTTCATATTGAAATAGATCTATATTTGATAAATGACTTATATTAATCTTTTAACAGAAAATTATACACTCTTATAGTTGTTAATATTCCGCCTGTAGCCCCTCCAGAGGCTACCGCCGGTTTCAAGCCCGGATAAAGAATGAGGGTTGGACATGGGGTTAACGATCCCACCCCGTAGAAAACTAACTCGCTAAAAAAAACACTAACCAGTGTAGTTGGTAATGAAAGATTTATAATGATAAGACTATAATTTATGAACAAACCAATCAGATTTAAGATACCTGGTCTTGGATTTCGGCATGAAATTTATTCATCCATATGGCATTATAGCTGATATCAGTTCGTAATAATAAAAAAACTGTAACTCTAATTCCTGACTTCAGTTACTTACTTACTTACGCCTGTTACCCCTCGTCGAGGAGCATAGGCCGCTCACCAGCATTCTCCATTCAACTCTGTCCTGAGCCTTCCTTTCCAGTTCTTTCCAGTTACTATTCAGCCTTTTCATATCGGCTTCTATTTCCCGGCGTAGTGTGTTCTTTGGCCTTCCTCTTTTCCGCTTCCCCTCCGGATTCCAAGTTAGGGATTGAGTCGCTGACTTCAGTGCCCAGTTGTAAATTCTAATCTTAATTTCTCACACAAATTTATAACCTTCATTTAACCTTAGTAATTGGGTCAAAACTCTTCAGGTCATTTCATTATCATTCAAAAGTTGTCCATAAATTGAACACTAGATTCCATTTCATAAACTCTTCTATTAACCCCATAGACTAAATCTACATAGCAATTTGAACATGATAGAAAAGACACGTAATATGGAAGAAACGCATTACTCTAAAAGTTTGTTTATGTACAGAAAATCTAGGGTATTTATAACATTTTAGATGGTCTTAGGTTTCCGGAAAATTCTGGAACGTTACTAAACATAGTAGCAGTATGGATAATCAACCAATTAACAATTCGATATATTACTTTTCACTATACGATAAAGTCAATTATAATCAACTCACAGCTTGGTATTTCTATACGTTGGCTTGAGTTGTCATACAATAAGATGAATGTAAGAATGGATGTAGTGAAGATGTCAAAATAATGTAACAACAGTGATGATAACCATTTTATCAACCAACTCATTATCCTCATCTATTGCCCTATCGTCAACATTGACATTGTTCATTAAATAGATCTGTCATGTATAAGTAATACTTATCAGTCAGTCAGCTACAACGTAGGACCAGGCTCATGTATGCATCGGTCCAAGTTGCCATACCTCGTTAGCACAACAAGATGAACACCGGATTCATAGAAGTAGTTAATTTAGTGGTTGGTGGTAGTATATAAAAGATGGGTTGCATATAAGGATATAGTATAGGAAGGAAGAGAGATATGAAGCAATTTTAATCTCAAGGTTTAAGGGAAGATAAAGAGTGTGTACACCTAAACCATTGTAATCGATTCTGAGCCATGTCACACAGAGTCTACAACCATTGGTTACGATAGTCACGTGGACCCCAACCAGGTAGTCTGCATCTACCAACATGGCTCAGGCTAGTAATACTTATAAAACATCATTATATTCTACTTCCATTCTTAACTTCATGTAAAAGGAAACATATTAACAAATAAACACATTTTACTAGCTCTATACAAGTTAATATAAGGATAACTATTTCAATTAGATAAATGAATTTTCATAGTTGAAAATCATGAATCAATTGAAGCTAGACCACCATGGAAAACCTGGAAGCACTGGACGGCCGTTTCGTCATATTATGGGACTCCTCAGTGACAGTATGCATCCACGATCCCGCTTCGCGAGCGAGATTCGAACCCAGGACCTACCAGTCTCGCGCTATAGCACTTAACCGATAGACCACTGAGTCAGTCGGCATCCAACGGTGTTAATATCTAACTTTAATCAATCCACGATTTTAAGTAACCGTTGTATCAATTGATTCATGATTTCAACTATGAAAATACTAAATTCTCCACGAAAACCCTTCTTATGTACAACTGAATTTGTCAAAAATCAATTCATTACTGTTAGTAACAGTTGTGTGTGTAGAAGCTGGGGGGGGTTCTATCATGGCAACATTATTTTATCATAGAATGATGTAATCTAGAATTCGATATAATTAACCCCTTAGCCCATTAGGGAAAGCAAGTCACTACAATTTTGACCATTTAGTGACTTAGATTCAATTAAACAAAACTATAACTTTATATCGAATCCTTTCATTTAAAAATAACCCTTTACAAACATAATGATCAACATACATTATAGGCTGACTTACTTGTTTACTCCTGTTACCCCTCGTGGTGGATCACAGGCCGCACACCAGCATTCTTCATCCAACCCTGTCCTGGGCAATTCTTTCCAGTTCTTTCCAGTAAACATACATCCTTTTCATATCTGCTTCTATTTCTCTGCGTAATGTGTTCTTTGGCCTTCCTGTTTTCCACTTCCCTTCCGGATTCCAAGTTAGGGATTGCCTTGTAATGAACACTGGTGATTTCCATAATGTATGTCCTATCCATTTCCAACGTCTTTTCCTAATTTCCTCTTCATTTGGAAGCTGGTTTGTGCTCTCCCATAAAACGCTGTTGCTGATAGTATCCGGCCAGTGAATGTTGAGTATTTTGCGTAAACAACTGTTTATAAATACTTGTACTTTCTTGATGATGGTTGTAGTAGTTCCCCATGTTTCATCTCCATACAGTAGGACAGTCTTGGCGTTCGTATTGAAGATTCTCACTTTTGAAGTTAGTTGACAGTTGTTTTTGAGTTAAATATGTTCTTCAATTGTAGAGATGCGGTCCCTGCTTTGCCAATCTTCATACATTATAGACTGACTTTCATTAAATATCATCGTATGGAAATCCTCAATAACTCATATCAATGATCTTATCAAAAATAGAATCTAAGACTTTCAAGCCTCATAGTAAACATGTTCCTTTCAAACCAATGAAGCGACATCTAGCAGTTTAAATTTTTGGTTTTAGTCAGTTAGGGATACTACAAAATCATCTTTTGTTTCCATAGTTGTTAATTATTGCAGGTACATCCAGCTGACGAGTCCCAAATAGAACGAAACGCGCGTCAAAACTGGATTCTACTGCTAGCCACTATCCATCTTTGCTTACAATGCTTTTAAATTAAGGCTATATCGAGGCAATACGCACAGTATGCACATATGTCAATTAGAGACTGACCAGTTGCAGTCCTAAACACCAATGTGAAGATTCAAACAAGTGATACTAAGTGAATATTATGTCTAATGTTATAAATATTACTAATTCTTATATAAGTAATTCAGGACCTTAGAGGTGTGATGTAAACTGATTTATTTTTAAAATGGGGGTTTTCGGAGACTATAATGATTTTAATAGATGAATTAATAAGACGATGTAAGCTAGATCACCATGGGAAATCTGGGAGCACACTGAACAGAAATCTTCAAAAGTGCTCATCCACGATCCTGTACGCGGGATTCAAACCCAGGACCTCCAGTCTCACTTGAGAATACTTAATCTCTAGACCACTGAGCTAGCACCCAAAAATGTTAATGTGTAACTTCAACCGATCCATGAGCATGCACAATAATTCATCCACTGTCTGAGATAGATATCTGTCTCTACCAGACACAGATGAACTACACTGGTCACAGCTTCTCACTGGAGATCCATTTCGAAGCCAGTCACTAGTTAACACATGATGATTATGATCAGAATGAAGATTTGTAATGATCGTAGTAATTTCAATAGTTGAATTCATGAATCAATCTAAGCTAATAAGTTAATAAACGTCTCAAATAGCCACATGGAACATCTGATTATAGAAAGAAAAAAAACATTTAATTATTTACTGGTTAAATTCATGAATCAATTTAAACTAGACCACCCTGGAAAACCTAAAATCACTAGATGGCAGGCTCGTCCTAGTATGGGACGAATCCTACTCATTGGATCAGTTTCAGACTATTTAAAATAAACTTATATTTCAAAAGACTTATAATACAAGTTATAATATCAACGGCAGTCTCTTCCTAGTATGGGACTCTTCAGAAGTTCGAATCCCGCTCGCGGGATCAATTTCGGACTATTTAAAAATAAACTTATATTTTAAAAGACTTATGTTTATTTCGTGAGAATACAAATTATAATTTCAACCAAATAATGATAATAATATAAAACGATAAATGAAATAATAATAATCCTTAATAACAATACTACTTAATTTGTCTATTCTAACAAATTTCATAGATGAAATCATGAATCAATTGAAGCTAGACCATCATGGAAAACCTGGAAGCAACTAAACTGCCGTTTCGTTCTATTATCCGACTTCTCACCAATGTTCATCCACGATCCCACCTCACGAGATTCGAACCCAAGATCTATCCGTCTCACACTCAAGCGCTAGGATGAAACATCCATCCAGTACTTCCAGATTTTCCATACTGGTCTAGCTTCAATTGATTCATAATTTCAACCATCATGTTCTAACAAATATTAATTGCCATATTTAATTAGTATTCTATTCTGTACTACTAGTACTACTACTACTACTAATACCTTCATAAGTAGTATTCATTCGATTCAATATCATATTCCACATAAATATCATTCATTCATTCGTTCATTGTTTAAATATGATTCCATTCAATAAAGAAATCTCTTTTTTTTTGTTTTAATCTTCAATATCTTCAATGTTTATTTATTTGTTCATTTAAACATTACAATGTTTACATGTATTAATGAATCCACAATTTGAAGGAAAAAAAAAGAAAAAAAGAAAAGAAAAACAAAACAACATCACCACCACAGCAACAATAACACCACCACCACCACCATATCAACAACAATAACCCCCACCATTAAAATAAACTATACATCATTTTATTGTCCATTCGATAATAAAATTGTTTCTTTATTTAGAATACGTTGATGTTGTTTCATTTCAGTAACACAAAATGTACATACTGATCTATATGGTTTATTATAATTAAAAATTAGTTGATTCTTATCAAGATTATCATTACTACTGCTATTATGATCATTATTAGTAGTATTAGTAGTATTTAAATGATAAATTTGTTGATGTTTTAAACATGGTTGATCAGCGGGACCTGAACCAGTTACTAATATAGCATGTAAATGAGATATATAGGATGATGCTAAACGTAATGTTTCAATTTTAGATAATTTACGATTAATTGGTTGTGTTGGTATTAAATTACGTAACATAAGAAATGCATCATTAACACTAGCTGTACGTGTACGTTCACGTTCATTAGCTACACGTTTGATTGGTGGTTGATATTGACATGATAATGACAACGTTGACGATGACAACGATGAGGATGTTGTCGTTGTCGTTACATGATCCATATTATTAGTACTGTTACTATCATGTAATGTTGAACATTGATTAAATGTATCTGTTATACAATAGGATAAATGATTTTGTTTATCATTATAATGTTGAGTATAATTAGATAATAAATAATCTTGATCAGTCCAATTACGTTTACCATAAGAATTAATAGACATTTCCATAGTAAATAAAGTTTTTTCTTATTTTTTCATTAGAATTCCAGTATAATCTCCAAGTGAAACTCTTCTGAATTCTAAACATAAGTATATATATATATATGTATGATGGGTAGATAGATAGATAGATAGATAGACCACCTTATGAATAGTGGTCTGTTATTCACCATATAAATAGATAGGAATACATTGTGCACCAACAATGTGAATGTGCACATATATTTAATGCATATAAGCGTTTTCATTGGTTTATTGGTTACTATGCTGATACGCTGTTGTTGTTGTTGTTTGTTTTTGGTTTTTATAAATGTGGTAATCGCACTATATTAACCAATCGGCCTTTTTTTATTCCCTTCTCTTTTTGTTGCGTGTGTGTGGTGATAATATGCATTTTGTAAATATATTGAAATATTTAATAAATGAGAGGGGAATGTAAATAATAGATACTTTCATAGTTGAAATCATGAGTCAATTGAAGCTAGACCATCAGGGAAAACCTGGAAGCACTGCTTGACGGCCGTTTCATCTTATTGTTGGACTACTCAGTGGCTGTGTACATTCACAATCCCGCACTTGCGAGACTCGAACCCAAGACCTACCAGTTTCGCACCAGAGCACTTAAGTGATAGACCACTGAGCCGGCATCCAATGGTATTAATGTCTAACTTCAACCAATCCACGATCTTTGAGCAACTGTTCACCAATTGTCTTCAGTGAATTGATATCTCCACAACAGACTTGGTTGAACTCCACTGGTCACTGCTTCCAACTAGAACTCAAGGAAACATCTTTTGAAGTCAGTCACTAGTGAGCATATGATAGCTTCAATTGACTCATGATTTCAACTATAAAAATACTTAAATCTCCACAAAACCCCTTCTGATCAATAATAAATATATCATACACATGAGATTCATATTGAACAACCGGTAGATTTTATTCATCTAGTATTGTTTATTTGAATCTTCCTATTGATGTTTAGGACTGCAATTGATCAGTCTTTAATTGGCATATGTGCATACTGTGCGTATTAGAGATTGACCAGTTGCAGTCCTAACACATCAATGGGAAGATTAAAATAAACAATACTAAGTGAATTTAAACTTCACCCCATTGCATAAGCAAGTGGCTATTAGGACTCAGTAGTTGAGTGGATAACACGATGACGTTTGAAGCGAAAGGTACTGGTTTCGAGTCTTGGAGTGAATATCAACTCTGAGATGCAGGTACATCCAGCTGACGAGTCTCAAATAGGACGAAACGTGTGTGATACTGGATTACACTGCTAGCCACTATCCAACTTTGCTTACGGTAGATTTTTATATTTTAATTAATCATTGGAGTGAATCGATACCAGTATAAATTATTAATAAGCTGAGAATTAATACAAGTCCTTAGGAATGATTATATGACTACCCAGTAGTATACATCAACATCATGATCCATAATATGTGCAAATTATACAACCTTCCAGAACTTTCATTCTAATAATGATCATCTGCTTACTATTGACTAACTTCAAGAAGACTCTTTCTATGTCTTATTGGGAAGTATTGGACAGTGGAGTTGAACCATGTTAGAAATGAGATTTATTATTTTTTGGTCATATTGTTTGTTGAGTGTAGTGTATTACAAGCTGAGTAAAATCAGAGGTATTATCTACTGAATAAAGGCTCAGTGGTCTCAATGTAACCTCCTCACCGTGGAGCTTGAAGATTTTTTTACCTTCCCCCTCTAGGTACAAACTCCTGAGGGCTTAGGAAGCATGACAAACCATTTTTCTTATGCTCTCTGCTTAGTAGTAGCCGTTTCGATTAAATTAGTCAGTGATATAAATTATCTATCATTTAATCCATCTGTCCGTTATAAAGATACTAATGATTATAAGCAGACATGGATGGTAACCACCTGTGGGATTTTATTCGGAACTTGTCACATCCAAAGGTTGATGTTTCCTCGTGGACTCGAACTCTGTACCGCTCGCCTAAAACATCAACACTTTAGTCACTTAGTTACTCAGATCAGATAACCACCTGCTTGAGTAATGTAGTGAATCTTTAATTCCTGTATGCTGATTGTTTAAATCTTCCCATTGATATTTAGAACTGCAATTGATTAGCCTCTTTTGGTATATAAGCATCTTGAGAGGATTGCTTTGATATTGCCATTAAGTCTGAACCATTCTGAGAACAGATGGATAGTGGGTAGGAATTGACAGAAAGAACTTACTGGATTCCACTCCTATACACAATCCTTCTATGCTTATAATGCTTGTGACTTAATGGGAATACCGAGGCAATACTCATACAATGCAAATATGCCAAAAGCAGACCAACCAACTGAAGCGCTAAACATCACTGAGAAGATTCCAACAACCAGTACAAGTGAATATTCATAATCGACATGATAATTTAGATAATATCAGTCATTTAAAATTAACTTCATTTTCCTATTTGTATCATTTAAATAACATGGGTTATTTGACGTAAAAGATGGGAATCTGTTCTGATGTTTAGGTAATTTCAATAACATCTCATGAGGATCTACATTGATTATTCATTAAGAGATAATCTATGCCTTGCCGTGTAGTCAGCGTTGATCTATTTATATAGACTAAGTTGCAGTTTAACCAGTATAACAGACATGGTGTTTGCTTTGTTTGATAATATGTAGTTTTAGACAGTCAGGAGATGGCTGTATTTACAATCTTGAAAGGTTTAATGTCACCTCTGAGAAGAAAGCTGATATCATCTAATGTTACAGTTAGGGATGTTTCCAACTGAACCATTTAATCTGTATTAATTCTCTACTTTATAAAGGAAGTGCCATTAAAAGTCACATAGCACTGGATTGCCGTTTCCTCCTGCTATAGGATCCCTCAGTAGTGAATATCTTAAGGCATCGAAATTTAGAAATAGGGTTTTTGCAATAAGCCCATGATTATTAGATCTACTAATTCAACGTCCAGTGGTTCAGTTCCAGCTTCGATCAATTTGTTCGGTAATCAGATATTGTCATTAAGACAAACTGTTTCACTCTCAATATATTCAAACTCCGCTAGCTATGACTTCTTAGTAGAATTTAAGGAATATCTTGGATTAAGTCAATATTATACAAATATACCATAAAATACTTGTTCAATTCATCCTCATTAAAATGAATCATTCATTCATTCACCAATGAATAGATACCCGATTTGTTTTTTTCATGTCTTGTCCTAACACAAGTATAATATTTTCATAGTTGAAAGCGTGAGTCAATTGAAGCTAGACCGCCAGGGAAAACCTGGAAGCACTGGACGACCTTCTCGTCCTATTGTGCACATCCACAACCTTGCCTAGCGAGATGCGAACTCAGGACCTACCAGTCTCGCGCCAGAGCACCTAACCTCCAGACCACTGAGCCAGCATCCGATGGTGTTTCTGTCTAATTTCAAGTATAACAACTAGGTAGAATAATCCTATCTTTTCACTAAATAGGACGCAATCATTGTCTATCAAATGAAGTTGACTAATGTTTCAAATTATATATTAGCCTAATAATGGTTATTATTATAGATTTGGTTAAACATTTATGATGTTAGTTACTAACTCAGAGGGTTATTTGAAACGGTAGGTGATCAACTTCTTTAAACATATAATCTTTATTGACATTTCCAAGATTATATTGTCAATTTACAAAAACAAAATACTTTCGTTAAGAGATGGTTGAGTAATTTACAACCATCATGACATACTGGATTTAGACTTCGTGGATGATCTGGCTCTTCCATAACACACGCAACAACAAATGCAGGAGAAAACGACCAGTGTAGCAGCAGCCTCAGCAGCAGTAGGTATCAATATAAACAAAGGGAAAAGCAAGACTCTCCGATACAATACAACATGCAACAATCAAATTACACTGGACGGAGAAGCTTTGGAGGATGTGGAAACCTTTACATATCTGGGCAGCATCATTGATGAACATGGTGGATCAGATGCAGATGTGAGGGCGAGGATCGGCAAAGCAAGAGCAGCATACCTACAACTGAAAAACATCTGGAAGTCAACTCACCAAGTGTCAACCAACACCAAGAACAGAATTTTCAATACAAATGTGAAGACAGTTCTACTGTATGGGGCGGAGACGTGGAGAACTACGAAAGCCATTATCCAGATGATACAAGTGTTTATTAACAGCTGTCTACGCAAGATAATTCGGATCCGATAACCAGACACTATCAGCAACAACCTACTATGAGAGACAACAAACCAAATTTCAGCAGAGTAAGAAATCAGTAAGAAGCGCTGGAAGTGGATAGGGCACACCTTGAGGAAATCATCCAATTGCGTCACAAGACAAGCCCTCACATGGGATCCTGAAGGCCAAAGGAGAAGAGTAAGACCAAAGAACACATTACTTCGAGAAATAGAGACAGACATGAGAAGAATGAAGAAAAGTTGGATAGAACTAGAAATGAAGGCCCAGGACAGAGTGGTTTGGAGAAAGCTGGTCGGCGGCCTATGCTGCATTGGGTGTAACAGGCGTAAGTAAGTAAGTAAATTACATGCTGTATGAAACCCCAGACTTTTAAGTCTTGTGATAAACATAAAACCTCTCAATAGATGATTTTGTATTTAATGATCAACAGTGTCAACATAAGTTTAGGTGGATGAACTACCTTTTTTTTCTTGCTATAAATCCATTCACAAAGCACTTAAAATTTTATCTTGGGTTCATATTGTTTTTCATTATAGAAGGTAGCAACTAATAAACACTTTTGTGTGCATGTGTATGTGTGTGTGTGTAGATTGATCGTAGCAACTTATTTATTTTATATTTCAATAAGATACATTTTCCATTTCACAGCTTAGTTACTATACTTTTAATGTTAAAATCAATTTTTGTTAAAAATTCTTGTCGAGAATTTTTGTAAAACTAAAAAAAAAAATAGGGAGAAGGGAAGAGGGGGAAAGTAATGAAACACAGAGAGATTATACACCAAAACATCATCATGAACATGAAGAAAACACACCACAGGGAGGCAATAAAATTCAATTTTCACATTTCTCTGACTAACTTACACACGTATATACACACAAACAAGCACTTTCTCTCACTCACACACACACACACACTCTTTCTCTCTCTAAAAGATTCCATCTATCTCACACATTCGC